CCATGAAGGTCACCAGCATTTTAGGAATGAAGACTGAGGAATAGCAGAAATCCAAGAAAGCCAACTGACTAAGGAAAAAGTACTTGGGAGAATGAAGATGGACATTAGCCACAATTATCATGATAACCCCAAAATTGCCAACCACAGTAATGACATAGATTAACAGAAGCAACACAAAGAGGCCAAGATTCATTTCAGGGTTGTCAGTCAGACCCAAGAGGATGAATTCAGTTATCACACTGACATTCCTGTCAGCCATTTATCTTGCTCCCTTATGAGGTGTCTGCAGGGAACAAGGGGAAAGATAAAATAAGCAAAACATACAACTTGAATACATAATTTCAATCTACTAACATCTTTAGATAGATTAACTAACATCTTTAGTAGATTAGACAGGCATTACCTGTGCTAATAATAATCAACAATAAACTCAAATTTTCCAAGTATGAAAACTTAGCTGGGAAACTTTAAGTTGGTTTTCATCAAATGATATAAGTTGGTACTATGCACAATCCCGTCTGAGAGCCCTAATAAGAATATTTAGTAGAGAGAGTCTGGGAAACTGATCCTGGGTAAGGGAGTATGCCAGGTTCTACAACGAAAGGCAAGAATTTCATGTTCTAACGAAAAGCATCCTTTAACCATAAACAAAATAAGCAAACCCAAACAAGAAAAATCAATATTTAACAGGGAGATTTTTGAGACACTTAGCAAAAGTATTCCTATGATGTTTAGACAAGTAATAAAAAGATTATATGTTAAATACATGTATGTGCACATGTTCACATATGCATATTCTCATGTAATATCATACATTAAAACTTAGAGTGTATGCATGAGAAAAGGAAAATTAATTAGCACTGTCTGGGTATAAAATGGAAACACTTTCTATCGTAATATTTTTTTTTTTAATGCTAGCTTATTCCAGGAGGTCATTGTTGCAACTCCAAACAAAAGTTGTCATTTCATTTTCTAGTTTACTACAACATTTATCATGCAATGGTTAGAATTTGCCCATATCAAATATTTTTCACAATTGTGAAGTCAGAAAACTGTTTAAATATGTTTTAATCACTGAAATCAAAGTCTCAAATCTAATTTTATGGACAGTGCACATGCTGCCACCACATCCAATCATACGGATCTGGCTTTCTCATTCAAGGAAAGCTAGATTGTTAAATAAAGTATATTTTAGGCTTTATCATATAACCCAAAATACATAAAAAGTAAGGGGCTGATATATAATATATTTGGAAAGCACTTGATTAAATAATGTTTAATGGAATCTTTCTTTACTACTGGACTTTTGGGGATGCATAATATGCATTTTCATTTAGAAATAGAAATGCAGAGAATTTATCACATTGATTCTACAGCTGACTCTTTTCCCTGAATATTTATGAATATGGTGGCATATACTCCATACACAATTCAAAATTATTTGAGAATAATATCTCCCTAAAATTGAATAGTGATAAACAGATTCATATTTCTAGCCCTTAGTATCAGTGTGATTTAAATTAAACCACGTAATAACAATTTAGATACTGAAAACAACCTTACAAGACTTCTTTGCTTATATGCATTTTATTAAAACTGTAAGAAGTTAAAAAGAATGGTCACTTTTTACTGGTTTAATCTATAATTTTATGCCAAACTATTGCATTTGTCTGTAAATTTTCTCAAGTGGGTATAGTAAGAACTACAGAAGAAAAAAACGTGAAAAATGTCATATATATAGACGTTCCAAATCTTCATTGACTATTCAAAACAAAAAAAAAAAGTGATGATCTGTTCACATACCTGACAAGGCTTTCTCATCAAGCTAACTTTTATAGTTTTATCTTTTTGTATGTAATTATATTTACCTGGCTTTCAATTTCATTGATTTCACAATTGTTTCTTTAATTTATCTAATAATAGCAATCTTCATCTGGGCTACCTTTCATTTCCTGTTTTTCTCTTGCTGTAAAATCAGTTATAATGCAGCAAATTAATATTCAAGTCTAAAAGTTAGCTCTGATAATGAGCAAAGCGCTGCTACTCTTCTCAGATTAATAAAAATTCCACAATTAGTAATGATCATTTTTACATTTCAAGGTATTTATTTAAATAAATTCTGTCTTGTAACTTACTAAAAAACAGAAAGCTCTAATTATAGGTTTTTGAGGAAATGTGGAATAAACCTGCATTGTAGTTTAAGAAAGCCACATAACATCAGCAGTGGGCTAATTCCTTTTTTTCCTCAATTCAATAATTGGAATGAATTTGAATCAAATGATTTTTTCTTCACATTATATTCATTTCAAGTACTGAGAGTTGCTCTTTTAATCAAAAAAGAAATGTATAAATCCCTTACTAGGAAATATAATTAGGATACCTACCTGCTGTTGAGAAGCCCTAGTCTTTGTCTTTTAGTTTCCTGACTGTTGGGTTTATATTTGGCTTTGGAGACTTTGGAGGATGCAATCCCCAGTGCATTGTGAACATTGGGTTTCATTAAAACAGCCATGTAGCACTGAGGAAATTAAATCACTAGCACTCTTTCCAAAGTGTAATAATTCATATACTCAACCTTTTCACAGCCAGACAGAAAAATTATCACAGGTATTTTTGACTTGCCTATATGATACTAATCAAGGAAAAACTGAAATGTTATAAATTATGTTTACAATGATAACATTATTTAACCATGTGCACATGTTATATATAATATATACTATTTTCAATTCCTAAATTCTATTTATTGATGAGTATTTGATTCCATGAATATAACCATAGTAATTAAGAAAAATACACTCGTGTTTCAAATGTGGGACAACCCAAAAAATGTGGAAGAAATTTCTAAGCAGAATTTCAAGTGTGTGTGTGTGTGTGTGTGTGTGTGTGTGTGTGTGTGTGTGCACGCATGCCTGTGCATCTGGGTGTACTTTCATAGGCTAGATCACTTTTAAATGTCATGAATAATTTAGATAAGTAGGACCAGAATGTTTACCAGGCAGATAATTGGAGAATAGAATAAAAAAGTGATAAATGCAGGGTAAATACATCAGCTAAATGTTATAAAAGGAAAATAATGAGAATAATTAAGTCACTAGTATAAGTCATATACAACAAAACCAGGAAACTCAACTGTAGATAAACATGATGGGGAAAACCTGTAGTGATTTTATAAGGAAGCAGAAGGGAAAGTGGAGGAGCAAATAGTTTTATTAACACATGGTGAATATCAGAGTGCATTTTGTCAAAATGGTGATTTCCTTTTCTTTGGAATGATAAGAAGGATTTTAGTTGGAATGATTTGTCTTTATTAAGTGCTTAATTTGTTCCAGGCACTTCATCAGTATTATGTTCAGTCATTATAAATTTTATTTCCTAAACATTCTGATTCACTTTGCAGTGGCCCAGGGCAATTAAAGAAATGTCCAAGCTTTTACATAAAAGTTATCTTAGAATGTTCTAGCAAAAATAGAACACTTGAGATTTTTAAGAATGGTAAATAATAATGCACACATTCTCAGACTTCACTAGACATATCTAAGACTGATGAAATCCCTAAGAAGAGAAGAATGGCTTTCTTAAAATGAAAAAAAGTGTCATTAATTAATTTTCTCAGAGCATTTTTTGCAGTGTATTCCATCTTACGTTATAATTTAGATGGCATGAGTACATGATCTTCAGTTGTTTTTGATTTTGGGTATTGTAATTGTACACAGTCTAAATTTGATGAACAGCATCTGAAAATAGCCGTCATAGCTTGGATTAGTGAAATCAGTATGTGCTCACAGAAGAAGGCTCAACCCTGAATGGTGGAAAGATGAATTCAATGCACAGGCTCCTGGGGACCTGTGTAAGTGAAAAAACATGACCAAGATGCAAATGTAGCCATTACCAGTCCAGATTATACCAGCGATGTATTTCCCTGATGAGTTAGGCCAAACCCCCAAATCACAAACTCCAAGCCTACACATATTAAAACACTGGCACATATTTAATAGACATTCCCTGATGAACTAAAAGAAAAGCATGTGAGATAAATATTTCCTGGGCCCTGATTTCTCCAATTGCTGATTTTGAATGGTAACTATTTTCATACATGGAGTGAAGGGATTATTGCTACAGCAAGTGTCCATTCTCAGATCATTTTTCCTGATATTTTACATGTCAGATATTCCATTGGTGGAGACCTCATTTTATTTCCTCTTGAATAGTTATACCAACCATGTCAGAACACTTGGAATATGCTTAACCAAATTTCATTTACTTTCAGAAAAAGTCAAGATTATAATAAAATTATAATTGACAATATACAATATATAAATGATACTATATGTAAATATGTGTGACGTGGCATGTACATACGTGATACTATATAATATATATTATGATGTAGTTTTACTTTAAAAGTAGGAACGTTTTGTTCTTTTTCCAACTTGCCTCATAAAAATCTATCACCACACTCTCTAGTTTCCATCAGAATTCTACAAAAGTAATATCTTCTCATGGAAAAATTAATTTTTTATCTAGTTTTTGTTCATAGTATAATATTGTAACTATTTGTGAGCTTTAGTGTTCGTAATCTTAGGACAAAAATATTTTTCCTAAGAGGTATCACTTCCTTTCAAATATGCATCCTTAGGGAACTGAGTGTCTGCACCAGGGAGGACAGTCCTACCTTTTATGGGTTTTTTATTGTAAAAGATTTCATAAGTAGTTCTGCTTATTGCTCTCATTATCAATTATCTTGCCTGTATCACATTTCTTATGTTTCATGCTCTAGGATATTATATTGAATGCTCTTGGAGATTTGTAAAGAACACAAAAAACTAGGTTTAATTATGATCACCTTAGTTTTTTTGGCTTAAAAATTAAAACGTTCGTATTAATGCACTTATATGAATGTCTTTTATGCACAAATATCAAATATGTTTATTAAAAGATAATAAACCTAATATTAAGCAAAACATTGTATCTCTTTTGGGGACACATGCAGTATTAAATTAGCAAGAAAAATGTTTTTTGTCTATAACCCTTTTCATGGCATCCTTCACTTCCTTGTTCCTTAAGCTGTAGATCAATGGATTTAACATAGGAATCACTAGGGTATAAAATACAGAAACCACCTTTTCTTGTTCTAAGGAATATTGCGAGCTTGGTTGAATGTAACTAAAGCTTATAGAGTCATAGAATAAAGTCACAGCAGTTAGGTGCGAGGCACAGGTGGAAAAGGCTTTGTGTCTGCCTGCCTTGGAGTGTATCCTCAGTATAGCAGCAACGATGAAGACATAGGAGACCATCACTCTCAAGAATGTAATCACGGCAATAATGCCAGAGAAGATTAAAAACAACAATTCATTCATGGATGTGTCAGAGCATGACAGCTTTAACAGAGGGGGAAGGTCACAGAAGAAGTGACTGATGACATTTGGCCCACAGAAGGACAGTTTCACCAAGCCAATTTTGTGTGTATATGAGTTGATTAAACCTCCTACACATGATCCAAATACAAGCAAAACACAAACTATTTTTGTCATAACCACCGTATAAAGTAAAGTATTGACAATGGCCACATAACGGTCATAAGCCATGGTTGTGAGCAGGAAGCCCTCAGTGGTAAGTAGAGACACAAATAAGAAGTACTGCACAATGCATGCAGAGAATGAGATTGTCTCCCGTTTGACAAAAAAGTTCAGCAGCATTTTTGGTGCAAAAACTGACGAGTAGCAAGCATCAACAAATGACAGACAGCTAAGGAAATGATACATGGGTGTGTGGAGCTTGGGAGACATTTGGATTAGAAAGAGCATTCCTAGGTTCCCCACCAAGGAGATGGCATAGATGAGCAGGAACAACACGAAGAAGAACAACTTCAGCTCAGTACGATCGGTCAGTCCCAAAAGGATAAACTCAGTAACAAACGTAAAATTGACATCACCCATGTGACTGTGTTTCTTGTTACCTGTAAATGATAAGGAGATTGGAGTAAATTGGTAGAAGTAGTGCAATAACAATACTTTTTGGAATCTGTAAGATAAATCTCCGTGTGAGGAATTAGTGACTTCTCATCTCTGGTTGGTCTCCCTATAAACTGAGAAAAATTTAATTTGAGAGTCTGTAGTCTCATGAAACAATGTCTATTTTCCTCTTCCATAAAAATATTCTGTAAGATGAAAACGAAAATATTAGAAGTTTGACTGTAGCAGCATTTAAGTTGCTATTCTTACATGTTGAGCCACTCCACCAGCCCTTTTTTTGTGATGGGTTTTTTCAAGATAGGGTCTCACAAACTATTTGCTGGCTTCAAACACAGATCCTCCTGATCTCTGCCTCCTGAGTAGCTAGGATTACAGGTGTGAGTTACCGGCACCCATCTAAGTCACAGTTCTTAATTTGTACAAGTAGCAGAAGCGAATTTCACTGTAACCTATGTAAAGTCTCGCTTATGAAAGTATAGGAACTGATAATGGATATTTATTCTGTAGTCCCATTGAAGCTGTCTTTTGTACATTTTGCTTTCACTTTCATGGTAGGTAATATGAAATATATCAATAAACAAGAATTCTGTTCCCCTGCAAAGAAAAAAATAAAAGTAGGGGTTGGGATGTATCTCAGTGGTGGGACGAGTACCTAGCATGTACAAGGCTTTGGGTTCAATACCTAGCGTAAAATAAACAATATGAATAAGTAAATAAATAAATATACTGGCCCTTTAGCCTAAGTGGATAAGGATAAGTGGATAAGACACTCCACTTATCCTTTATAATTAGTTCCTTCTCTACTTTGTATTTTTTTCAGTACCAAATACTGATCCCTGGGCCTTGTGCATGCTAGGCAAGTGAGCTACCACTGTTATAGTCCTAGCATGCCACATTTTTTTAAAGTTAGATGTGATAAAAGTAGTCAGAGACCTAGCATACAAAACTTCTGCATCCATAGCTAGACATTAGCTTGAGGCATTGGCTCCTGAGAAGAGGACCCACTAGCGGTGTTGTAAGGGGACACTCTAAGCTGTAATATGAAGTGTAATGAAAAATAACTCATAATTACGCTTTGATGTCAAATAGAAATAATTTACAGGGACTCAAGAAGCAAAAGTGCTTTTGCTTTTCTGAGAAGAAAACTCATGAAATAAAGCAAACTTATAAAACACAGGTACTTCTTTTCAAGCTTCCTTTGTTTCCATGTTGCAACATGATTCTCTGAGTATGCAGTCTTTTCCACATAACCAGTGCATACCTATCTGCTGACAGTACTAATTTTGTCTGAAAAAGTTAACAGTCTTTTCACATGTTTATAACAAATGTATATATAAACAAAAAATATAAACTAGTGCTGTATTTTAGGATAAGACTTTTGTGCTTTTAACTGGCTTTATCTGACTCTTACCTGAAATAATATTTGGAAGTGAAATAAAGATTTGATTTTACCTAAAACATATTCCAACTTATTGCTCATCCTACCAGATAAGCAGAATTTGCCCTCTCCTGGTTTATATAGTCCTTACACTGCACTTTATTATCTCTCATACACACTTCTGCGTGATTCCAAAAAAAAGGTGTCTAACTCCTGATTTCGTTTTTAGTACCTCAGAACATTGTGTTACTAGTACCTCAGAATATGGTTCACTTGTTTTGGTGATAAATTTTTGTTTGTTTTAGAAGCATAAATGACAGAACTATAAAAAAGTTACAGATACAGACACCAGTCCTCTGCATAGAGTCAGACACAGCATGGGTGATCAAAATCAAACCATCATACTCCATCACAACATTCCTGTGGTGACAATCTGGGCAGAAAGGAACTTCCATGAGGGCCCAGGGGGTTTAGTTGCCACTTGGTCCCTCTGATCCAGGTAAAAATGGAAATATTTTAAACATTACGATATTGGCAACTTTGTGTCCACAAAATAAGTAAAGATTGATGTTTTTGCCTTCATTTTGTGATTGTTCTTTATAGAATGGGGAACATTCAGAAAAAGAATTACATTATAGGAGTACTGAAATAATAACAAATAGGAAGATAGTTACATTAAATTCAGCTTATCTATGTAGTGATAGGTGAATAATACTGGTAAGTATTTGTGATTTAGATTGTAAGTGTTACTTTAGGAAGAATATTCCATTGAATTAAAACATTTATCTTTTTTTATGCCTCCAGTAGAAGTTGAACAACTAAGTTAATGTTCATGTAGAAAAAATGATAGACACATAGAATAAGTGGTGATAAAAGATGACTAAAAGATTCATTTTTCTCCCATAACTTGAACTGTTTATTAGATTATAATCTGAACATACTTTCTTCTTCCTTTAAGAACTGATTTGTAGAATGTATGTATGTAAGATTCAAATAAGTGGATTTAACATATAAATGAAAGGAAAAATATAAAACACTTTATCTTATTTAGGAACCTTGTGAACATCTATAACCATGCTTGATTTCTCTACATTTCCCCAAAACAAAATTAAAAGCAGAACACTAAAAAATTATGCTAAAGATATCTTACATTTAAAATGATGCATAAATTGAGTAAATAATGGTAGTGGCAGGTAGCCGATTGGGATTCAAACTTACCCTTTAATATAGGAGAATCAAAGGTACCGAATTCTTGGTATGAAAGTACGAACAAAATTATTAAAATCATGCCAGAGGGTAAATTCAGATAAGAAGTTCAGTTATATAGTTACCTTAGTTCAAATGGGAATATACTCCCCGGAATTACTTTCTGATTAAAAGATACAATGTGTACACTGTTAAAATTTCTCTGCATTTCTTCAGGGATTTAAAAAACTCTCAAGGACTTAATGGCTCCTGAGGACATTCCATTTCCTGAATATTTTAAAGAATAGAGGAAGATGTAGAGGAAACAGAACGTATGATTTCTAAAAAAAATGAATAGGATTGATGGTAATGCCTGTCTCATGTGTTAGTAAAGAAACTTTAGCATGCTTTTTCAGAATATATTCCATGGACCTGTCAGGAAAGAAATAATAAAACAAAATATAATGGACTTATTAGAGCAACATTTAATAAAAATCCTTTGTATTCCTTGATACACTAGGATGAAAAAAATGGCATCAAAGAAAATTAAGAATACTACTTCTTAAAATGCTACTTTGAGAATAACTCCATCATCCATCTCTTGAATGTAGAATCTGTCTATGGAGAGAGAAGTTTATGCTTTTTACCTTCAGCCTAAATACATCATGTGAGATTTTGATATTAATGTTTCACATTGTTCCTGTATATGCATTCAGATAACAATTAACCCTTCTTGTTTACATTAAAAACTGATTTCTTCTTCTTAAGTGAAGTTTTCTTATTTCCCAAATTGAAAGCTAATGGATCAGTGGTAGCTGTGGAGATTTGGTTCTGCCTTTTTTTTCTTTTTTCAGCATTCTCAAGCTTTTATTTATTTATTCATTTATCTTAAGCTTTTAGTATACAGTAATTGCATAGGGGGGTTCTTCGTGACATTTCATGTAAGGGCACAATGTACCATGAGTAGTTACATCCTCACCATAATTCTCTCCCCTTCCACTCCCCATTCCTACAATGACTTCAACAAGTCCAGTATTCCATCTGACACATGTAGAAAGTACATCAGTCATATTTACTCTTCCTTACTGTTTCCATTTACCCACCACTTCCCACTAATACCTACTCCTTAAAATTACTTGTTTTTCATTCCTGTCCTTCATTTTTAAACTGTATGTTCTTTGTTCAGTGGGGTTTTTCCTTGACATTTCACCTGTAAGTATTTTGTACTTTAATCACTCGAAGCCCCTGTATTATTTATCCTTATCCTTTCCCCTCTACTCTGCACTCTTCAACAGCTTACAGTACATTTTATTGTGGCTTGTTCCTACACAGATGTGATATATTTCAGTATTATTCATTCTCTATCATTTTTTCTCCTTTTCTTCCTCCCCTAGTCGCCTCAAACATTCCCACTGCTGGAAACATGTTCTATAAGTGTGTGCATGTATATAGATACATACATACATAAAACATGCACCCTTTGGTGTTATCTTAGAATTGAGTTAGGACAGAAGATGATCCACTATATTATAAGTCCTAGAAATTCTTAGTATCTGATGTATTTTCTTTTTCTTTCTTAGTATAATTTATTCCCAATTTCTAAGTAAAGAGCAAACTATATTTATTAGACTACTATTATCTCTTCTCCTAGGAAAGAGTAATTTAAGATAAAAAGTTTCTGAAAGGACTTTACAAATGTCTGCATTTGTAGGAATTCAGTTTAAAAGAAAGAAAACAACAAAAATTGTACCAAAGTGTTTAAAATGAGGTTCTCTATCTTCTACATTTTCTACTGACACGTTAATTTTAAATGCAATACTATGGTTAAAGGCACCTGACTGTAAAGAGGCCCTAAACCAGTCTCAGAAATTCAAATGGGTCTTAAAATCAAAATCTATTATCCTCATCAGCAATTAAAATAAGAATTCAGGGGCTAGGGATCTACCTCAAGTGGTAGAGCACCTATCAAGCAAATATGATGCCCTCAGTTCAAACCCCACTACTCACAAAAAAGGATTTTAAAATATAAAGTGTTGAAATTTAGGATATTTATTAGGCTGAAGTTGAATCTGGTATATAGAAAGTTATATTAATAATATTAAAAGTTATTTACTTTATGTGTTCAACTATTTTGCTATGAAAGAAGTCTGTATAAACATTGTTCAGAGGTTATATTAAGATATATATTAATGTTCAATGTTTTAAGTTATTGTAATTTAGAAAATTATCCATTTTAAAGTAAAATATGAAAAAATAAATATGATACAATAAACTGTAGCAATTTTATAGTTTAATTTTTGCCATTCCCCATATCCCCTCTTTTCTTTCCAAGAAACTACCAATTTTCTAACATCAAAAAAGTGCTATTCTATTTCCCTTTACCTGAGATTTGCTTTTGTAG